GACTCATGCTCACATCGGCGACATCTATAACGGAGTTCATTCCCGGCCCGGTCAGAATAGCTGTGGACCGGACCGGCGAGGGTCCGCTCCTGGTAATGCTGCACGGCATAGGAGGAAACCGAACGAACTGGCGAGACCAGCTACCGGTGTTCGCCGAACAGTTCACCACTGTCGCCTGGGACGCACGGGGATACGGGCTGTCGGACGACTACCCGGGCGATCTCGATTTCAGGCACTTCGCCCAAGACCTGGAACGCGTACTCGATCACTACGGGGCAGAGAAGGCGCACCTGCTCGGGCTATCGATGGGAGGGCGCATCATCCAGGACTTCTATGAGATGCTACCGAATAGAGTCTCGACGCTCACCCTGTGCGACACGCACAGTGGAGACTTCCACCAGTCGTGGGAGGCGCGAATAGAGTTCGTGCGGCTGCGCAAGGAGCCGCTGCTCGCGGGCAAGACGCCCGCCGAGATGGCTCCGCCAGTGGCAGAGACCCTTATTGGTCCGACTTCTTCGAGGGAGGCATTCTATAGGTTGGTCGACAGCATGGCGGCCCTCCACAAGGAATCCTACATCAAGACGATAGAAGCGTCCGGCCTACAGCCGCAGACACTGAACATCTCTACCATCGCAGCGCCGACCCTAATCGTGTGCGGCGAATACGATCGGCTAACGCCGCCGGAGGTCAGCGCAGAGATGCACAGGAAGATACCGAGGTCGGAGTATGTCGTCATCGAGGACGCCGGCCATCTGACCAACATCGAGAATCCCTCTCGATTCAACGAGGTTGTGATGGACTTCCTGCTGAGACACCGGGAGTTGGAGTGAGCCTGCATCTACATGACCGGCGTATAGACTGTCGAATATGGTAATCATGGGTGTCCCCACTATTTTTGTGGGGATGTGCAGATGGAACTGAAACGGACATTCCCCAAACATGTCAATTAGAGACTTGCAATGCTGAACTATACGATATGACCCCAACTGCGTAAACATGAACAATCCATTCGACAGTCTCCTGCTTTGGCGAAACTCCCTGCCGTCGAGATGACTGGGAGTCTCGTTTATCAGACAACTTTGCCCAAGTAATACAGGGCAGTCACCTCGCGAGAGATTGCCTTTCCTTATGAGCCACTCTGCGACCTCAACCAACAGGCTGATCCAACTGCTGACTGAGGATTCCACCTCGTCAGGAAACCTGATTGAAATAGGACAGGACTCAGTAGACTCCAACGCTGTAAGTGGAATCCATATCGGTGGAGCCACTGCGCCAGCACCCTGGCGCCAACTATCCTCTGATCTGTCAGCGGGGAGATTCAGATTATTGGATTCCCTCCGTAGGACTCGCATGAGCCTGTTCTGGACACGATCAAAGATCAGTGACTCGTCAATCGACTGTGCCTCTAGTTTCGCCAACTCATCTCTACTGGCGGCAAGCGCTTTCCTACGCTCACCCTTCCATTCAACATACAAGTCGGCTTTTTGCGGGAAGTTCTTTGGCCGCTGCTCTTGAGGATCGCTTCTAAGTAGGCTTCGAATTGTCTATCCAGGATTTCGTTATTTCTCAGGTCTCCATCTTCATTGGCAACGAAGTCGCGCAACTTATCCTGCCTGGCCTTGTATTGACCCAAGAAATAGTCCCGCTCGGACTTCAGGAGTTCTCGAATCAGTAGGGACAATCTCTCGTCCAGTGGTCATGATCTATCACTACTTCATAGTCTCCATCATCTTCTTCCCTTGCCAGACGCTCCATCTCTTCGGAGACAGGCAGGTGGGCTTGCAAATGCGCGTCTTTGTGACAAAGGTCGCATACGTTATCGTGTGTATACTGACAGGAGTCTTTCAGGATCCAACGTTTCCAGGCGCGCCACTTGCCACAGCGTTGGCAGTCCGCGCCGAATGGCGCTCCGCAGCATCGGCAATCGTGACTGGCTGCGGGTGACACGGTCCAGCAGTGCTCGCACCATATGACTGGAGCTTCCCCATCGGGAAAGTGCCCGAGAGGGTACAGTGTCCATACCCTTTCAGTCTCTGGGAGATTATGTGCTTGGGTATTGCCCGCAAGATCGAGAATCATACAATCGCCATCGTTGGGCTTTGGTCTCATACCCCGCCCCACCATCTGTAAGTAGAGCGACAAGCTAGTTGTTGGTCTAGCAATCACTATGCAGGACGCGTCGGGTAGGTCGAACCCCTCTGTGGCAACTGCGACATTTATCAGCACCCTCAGATGACCATCTCTGAATTTCGTGATGATGTCGGCGCGTTCATTGGATTCTGTGCTGCCGAGCATTACTTCGGCGACGACACCTGCATCGTTGAATACCGTTTTGAGATTGTGCGCGTGCTGAACGGATACGGCATAGATGATCGTCTGTCGGCGTGGGGTCTCTTCCTGCCAGAAATTCAGGGCGCGGACCGTCATGACATCAGGGAGGTTGGCTTGTTCGATACCTCTTTCCGTGTAGTCGCCGATGGATCCGATTTCTCCGCCCTTGATACGGTCCTCATGCGGCGGAAAGAGCACTGTGGATTTACACAAGAATTTCTGCGCCTGTAATTCACCGACCTGTGGGCCGCATATCAGATCATCGAACAGATGGTTGAATCCTTCCCTCTTAGATAGGCGCCAAGGGGTTGCGGTCATACCCAAGACACGTCCCGGCCAGCTACGTATTATCTTCTGCCATCCTCTGGCAGTCGCATGGTGAGCTTCGTCAATTATCATGAGGTCGCCGATACCGTACTCGCTCCACACACCCGATTCATCGGCACGGCGAGTTGCAGTTTGAGCCATTAAGATTACGACGCCGTTCGGTATATGTGGCGCGGGCGTACTCCGAGCCCAGCTTGCCTGGGGAGATACATTGACACCAGCGGAGTTACGCAACATGTTTCTGGTCTGAGTAGCTAATTCGTTGCGATGAGTGATCCAGAGAGCCTTGCGTCCATCGGTCAGATAGCCTGCCAGCAGGTGGGCGGCGATGACGGTCTTGCCTCCGCCGGTGGGAAGCTGCACCATTATTCGCGCTTTTTCAGGATCGAGGACTTTTTGGACCTGTTCGAGCAGATCGCGCTGGTAGTCACGAAGTTCAATCATCTGCCATCTACCGGAACCTCGGCGCCTACAGAACGAATATATCCCGCACTGAGCAGCTGAACCCCGGCAGCGCCGATCCGCCGTTCAGTGTGTCGTCTTCTCCCAGCATGACTTCGGGGGCGTCTGGGCGATGCACTCCCACCGTCCGCGTATCGGGGTACACCACCCACACCAGCCCGGTGTCGTAGCTCAGCCACATCCGAGCCTTCTCGACCACATCGGCAGGTCGATCACTTGGGGACACTATCTCTACCACCAGGTCAGGAGCCACTTCGATGTAACCGGTGTTCCGAACGCCCAGGGGCCGCTTCTCGGCGGATATGAACGCAAGGTCCGGCTCCCGCACCGTGTCCGGGTCACGTTCCAATCGCACTCCGACATCGGACGCTACGAGCCGGCCCAGCCGCCTCGGCTTCACGAAGCCGCCCAGGATGAGCACCATGTTCGTAACGATCTCGCCGTGTTCCTCCCCAGAAGCCATGGTCTCGTGCAGAACCCCCCGGATAAGCTCCCCGCGTATGCCTTCGCTGTACAGGCGCAACAGGTCGTCAGCCGTCAACAGCTTCTCTTTCTCTCTTGCTGTCGCCATGTTTCCCCCGCGTCATCACTCTGCCGAATAGGGATTAGGCAGGTTGTAGCCACTGACCGATACGTGTCAATTCGACCGTGAAATTCCCCCCGCCTCTGGTATAATCCAGCCAAGTCTTGATTCCAGTCACCATCTTACAGGAGGCAACACATGGCTGAAACTGAATGGGGCCAGATCTACAAGGAAATCGGAGCGCAGCCGGTCATCAATGCCATAGGCAGCGTCACAATGCTGGGCGGCTCTACACCGGTGCCAGAGGTGGTTGAGGCGATGGAGGCGGCAGGCGTCGCCTACATCCCGCTGATGGACCTCGAGGAGAAGGCCGGGAGGGCGATCGCCGAGATGTCGGGCGTGCCGGCTGCCTGGGTGACGTCCGGGGCCGGATCGGCGCTGACACTGGCTGCAGCAGCCGTGATGGCTGGAGACGACGACGACAGGATCCAACAGCTTCCCGACACGACCGGAATGAAGAACGAATTCCTGATCCAGCGTCGACAGCGCTACTGGTACGACCGCTGCCTGGAGACTTCGGGCGCGAAGCTGGTCGAGTTCGGTACGGACGAAGGCACGACACGAGAGGACCTTGAGAACGCCATCGGCCCGAACACCGCGGCAGTCCACTTCTACGCGGTCGAGCAGGACCCAGACCCCAACGTCCTGCCGCTCGAGGACTGCATCGAGATCGGCCGAGCCAACGGGATAATAGTCACGGTCGATGCGGCAGGCCAGATCTATCCGCTGGACAACTTCGGCAAGTACGTGCGGATGGGTGCTGACTTCCAGTGCATCGCCGCCAAGTACATGGGCGCTCCACAGTCGACCGGACTCGCCCTGGGTACCGAGGACATGATCCGCAAGCTCGGATACCAGTCGTTCGTCGGCTATGAGGGACGCCGGATCAGGGGCATCGGCAGGCCGCACAAGGTCGATCGCCAGGAGATGATAGGCGCTGTGGCGGCGGTCAAGCGCTGGTTCACCATGGACCATGAGTCGCGCCTCGCCGAGGTCGAACAGCGCAGCCAGACGATCTTGACGCCGCTCAGGAATATCCCCGGTCTCAAGGCCGAGATGATGGACAACATCATCGGCCACCAGCCGTTCGGCGTGCATCTTGAAGTGGACCCAGACGTCGCGGGCTTCACGGCACAGGAGCTGGTCGATCGGCTCAAGGCAGGCGATCCACCGATCTGGATGCGAGTCCGCGAGGGTGAGGAGCACATAGACATCCACGTCTTCGGCCTGTACGAAGGCGAGGAGCAGATGGTGGGCGAGCGCATTGCCGCCGAGTTCGCCGCTAGGGGTGTCCCCCCTCTCAGGGATACGCATAATCGACCTCACTCAGGTGCAGGCCGGGCCGTCGTGTACTCAATTGCTGGCGTTCCTGGGCGCCGACGTCATCAAGGTTGAACAGCCTGGCGTCGGTGACCGGACACGCCATGAGCGAGCCGTTTCGGAAGACGTAGATAGCTTCTACTTCATCGTCTTCAACGCCAACAAGCGCAGCGTCACGCTCAATCTGAAGACCGAGCGAGGTCGAGCAATTCTGCTCGACCTCGTCTCCCGCGCTGACATTGTCGTCGAGAACTACGGTCCCGGCCAGATGGAGCGGTTCGATCTGGGCTTCGACACGCTCAAGCGGGCAAATCCGAAGATTGTCTACTGCACCATCAAGGGCTTCGGCAGCTACGGCCCGAACGCTCACGTGAAGAGCTTCGAGCACATCGCCCAGGCGATGGGCGGCGCCATGAGCGCCCAGGGTGAGCCGGGTCGCGAGCCGATCTTCGTGGCCCCCGGCGTTGGCGACTCCGGCACCGGTCTCCACGCGGGAATAGGTATGCTGGCCGCGCTCAGACAGCGGGACGCGACAGGCGAGGCCCAGCGGGTCGAGGTTGCGATGCAGGACGGCATAGTCAACCTCATGCGTATTCGCATGATCGACACGTTCAACACGGGCAAGCCAATCCAGCGTGAGGGCAATCGCACCTGGGGAGGCCCGACAGTCGTGTATCCGTGCAAGCCGGGTGGTCCCAACGACTACGTGGCGCTGATTCTCGCAGGCGATGCCTGGGACACTGTGCTCGCGCTGGCTGGTCGCGCCGACCTGATCGGAGATCCCCGTTACGCCACGACGGAGGCTCGACAGGAGCACGGGCCCGAGGGTAGAGGAGATAGTCAGCTCGTGGACCCGCACGGTCACCAAACACGAGGCTATGAATACCTTGACCGAACTGGGTTTTCCGGCGGGCGCAGTGCAGGACTCGCTGGAAGTCCTTGACGACTCTCACCTGAGGGAACGCGAGATGATAGTGGACATCCACGACCCCGTCCGGGGGGACTACCAGGTGATCGGCTGTCCCATCAAGGTCGACGGGAACGACGTTCAGGTCCAGCCGCCGCCGTTGCTGGGCGAGCACACAGAGGAAGTGCTGGCCGAGATGCTCGGAATGACAGCGTCTGAGGTCGGCGGCCTGCGGGAAGAAGGAGTCGTCTGATGGACAAGCGGGAGTTCATCGAGCGGATCAATTCCGAGCGGACCAGTTGGGACGAACTCTTAGCGCAGGTGCCCGATGACCGAATGCCGGAACCCGGAGTCGAGGGCGACTGGTCGACCAAAGACGTTCTCGCCCACGTGACGTGGTACGAGCGTGAGATGGTGGGGATGCTCAAGTCGCGCGCCCTGGTTGGCTCCGACTGGTGGGCGCTACCCCTGGAGGACCGAAACGCCGCCGTCCACGATGAGATCATGGGTATGTCGCTCGAAGAAGTGCGCGCGGAGGTTGCCTGGGTGTTCCCGGCGCTTGTCGAGCAGTTGGAGCTGCTGCCGGAAGAGGCACTCGGAGACCCCTCTCACTTCGAGCACATGCCAGCGGAATGGGCACCCTCTGACGTGATCTCAAGCAACACGTACAGGCACTACCCTGAACATACCGAGTCGATTCGGCGTCTGCTTGAACAGGATTCCAGTCCCTGAGGTTCCCGAGGTCGAAGCTCAGTCAGCAGCGATGATCGCCAGCTCAGGGTGTGGCAACGGCGGACGCTGCGCTTTGATAGCGGCCTTCTGCTCCTCGGACGTCATTGGTGTGAATCGCTCTGCCGCGTCCAGCACCTTTGGAAGCAGGCTGACTTCACCTGAGCTTGGCGCGGTGTGCATCGGCTGTGACAACACCCACCAAAGCGAACGGTCGATCTCCGCCTGCTCGCGGTGCGGGTCGTACCAGGTGTGGCAGTCCCTCGGTCCCGGGCCCCAGCCTCCCCGCGCGATCATCTTGATCGTCTGAATGCCGATGTCCCTGGCCGCGCACTCAGCGAGCAGCGCCTCCGAGTCGCGCCGGTAGTTGATATCCCTCGCCATTGCCGGGTTCAGCGGGAACATGACCGTGTCGAAGTCGAACCGCCTCAGACTCTCAAGAATCGTGCTGGGCACATGAGGTCCGTGGCCAGTAATGCCAAGCCACTTGGTCAGGCCCTGGTCGCGCATCTCGACCAGCGTCTCCAATGCTCCGCCATCAGCAGTGGCGAGGTCCAGCTCGTGCAGGTTGACGACCGAGTGGAGCTGGAAAAGGTCGAAGTTCTCAACGTTCATCCGCTTCATGATGCTCTCGACGTCGCGCCACGCCTCGTCGCGACTACGAAAGCGGGTCTTCGACCCCAGGAACATGTTGTCCCTGAGCTCCGGCATCCAGGGTGCGACCCGCTCCATCGACTGTGCGTAGGAGGGGGCAATGTCGATGTGATTAACTCCGTGATCGAGCAACATCTGAATTGCCTGGTCTGCCTCGTCCTGGTCGAGATAGCCGACCAAGTATGCTCCGAAGGTGACGACGGTGCTCTCGTGTCCTGTTCGTCCGAGTCTTCGCTTCTCCATATGTCGTTCCTCCTGCGGCAGCACCGGCGCTGATCGCACGATACAGGCCGGTGGCTGTGATAAACTTTCGCTCTTGAATCCCTGCTAACAGAGTGAGCATACAGAAAATGTCCCAAGTATTCGACATCGCCGACAGGTACGTGGAGCGCGTCGCGGAGATGAGCCCATTCAGCGCGACCTATATGGGTGTACCCGGACACGACCACGAGATGAACGACTTCTCGCCCGAGGCGAGCGAGGCGGAGGCTCAACTCGATCGCGACACGCTGGCGGAATTGGAGTCCGCCCCGGTCGAGAACGACAGGGACCGGATCGCTCGAGATGCGATGACAGACAGTCTTCGACTAGGACTCGACAGACACGACGCAAACGAACACTTCAGAAATCTGAGCATGATCCACAGTCCAATTCACAGTGTTCGCCAGATCTTCGACCTGATGCCGCGAGAGACCGAGGAGCACTGGGCGAACATTGCCTCGCGAATGGCGCTGATCCCCATTGGCCTCGACAGCTACCGTCGGACACTCGAAGAGGGGCTGAGACGCGGCCTTGTTGTCGCCAAACGTCAGGCGAGCGAGACCGCCGGACAGTGCGACATCTGGATGGGCGCAGTAGAGGGTCACGAGTCGTTCTTCCGCGGGCTAGTGGAATCTTTCGACGAGTCAGGTGTTGACTCGGGAGGCCTCAGATCTGAGCTCACCGCCGCGGCAGGAGCCGCCGAAGAGGGAGTCGCCGACATGGCACGCTTCCTGCGCGAGACCTACGTGCCTGGCGCCTCGGAGCGAGACGCAGTCGGAGAAGAACGCTACTCGCTAGCTGCCCGTGTCTATAACGGCATCGAGCTTGATCTGCATGACACTTACCAGTGGGGCTGGGAGCAGCTCGTGTGGGTCGAATCGGAAATGGAAGCCACCGCCCAGAGGATCGCTCCTGGCCAGGGTGTCGAGGAGGCCAAGGAGCTGCTGGAGACCGATCCGGCCAGAGCAAATCGAAGGAGAGGCGGAGTTCACGGTCTGGATGCAGGAGCTTCAGGAACGGACGATCAGCGAGCTGGACGGCGCTCACTTCGACATAGCCGAGCGTTGAAGACGATCGAGGCGCTGATCGCCCCTCCGGGCGGCGCGCTGGCGATGTACTACACGCCGCCGTCCGAGGACTTCTCAAGGCCGGGCCGTACGTGGTACCCGACTGGAGGGAAAACGCGGTTCCCACTGTGGGGCGAGGTCTCCATTGCGTACCATGAAGGGGTCCCTGGACACCACTTCCACCTGGGCACGACGGTCGCGCTGTCTGAGCAGCTCTCAAGGTTCCAACGGCTTCTGGGCGGTACGTCGGGGCAGATCGAGGGCTGGGCGCTGTATGCCGAGCGGCTGATGGGCGAGCTCGGCTATTTGGAGAACCCCGACTACTATCTCGGAATGTTGAGAGCGCAGGCGTTAAGGTCGGTCCGGGTAATCATAGACATCGGAATGCACCTGGAGCTCGCCATACCCAACGGCCAGGACTTTCATCCGGGCGAGAGTTGGACCCCCGAACTTGGCCTGGAGTTCATCAACCTGAAGAGTCACTTCCCGGCGGACTTCGTCGCCAGCGAGGTCAGCCGCTACCTGGGCATCCCCGGCCAGGCATCGGCCTACAAGAGTGGCGCACGCGAGGCTGGCAGCCCGTGCGGAGTCCAGTCAGGCCTGGTTCTGGCATTCGACATCAAGGGTGAGTGGCACACCCGTGCGCACTGTCATGGGCCGATGGCCTGCGCCGATAGAAGGAGGCGGGACCGAGTTCAGGCGGGAGTGAAGGTCGGTAGCCCCTAAATCATTTCCACTCGTCGTCTGGGGGCCAGATGTTGGTCGCGCCTCGCCCTGCGCCCTGAAGCCCGGAATCTTCACGCCAATCTGCCGAGGCAGTCCCGCCACTTGATGAAGTGGGGCGCCTGCGTGTGGGCGTGGAAGGCATCTTCGTCCTTGTAGACTTCGTACAGCCAGATTCGGTTCGGGTCCTCGGCGTCCTGAATGACGTCGAAGCGAAGGCATCCGGGCTCTCGTTCACCGATCCCCTGGCGTCGCCGATCATCTCCTCGATGAACCGGTCCTTGTAGCCTTCCTTGATCTGAATAGGCGCGATGATTACGTACATGTCGGAACTCCTAGATCACGAGACGCGACGCGCCGCCGCGCGACACGACCCGCGCGCCGCGCTACTTTCGTATCCGACCTGCGGCAGCACAGACTCCATTGCCGACAGGGCGAACAGCACGTAGTCCGGGGCGCGACCCTGGGACTCGACGCACAATGAGTCCGATCGCCAGACCTTGCGTCGACGGCGCCCGAGGCCCTCTGCCGATCCGTCAATCTGGATAGTCAGGCCAGCAGCTTCGCCGCCCTCACTCGCACCTGGCGTCGTCGCGACTCCGCTCGGTAGCAGACCGGCGTAAATCTGCGCGAGCCTGATAGCCTACTGCGTGACCACTCCGAGTCCGAGCGCCTCGAGTCCGGCTCTCACGCGGGGCCGCTCGATCGTTGCGCGTCGTGAGGGCGAACCGGTTCTCAAGGCCCTCTTCAAGAACGACGCGGAGGCCCTCTCCAAGCGCGAGCACCATGCTGACCGGTGACGTGTGATGGTACACCCTGGGGGTACCATGGTTGGCGTCGTTCAGGTGACTGAGTCCAGTACCAGGGGCTGGTGGCGTCTCCTCTGGATCTGATGGATTCCGATGCGCGCTGCTGTGACCGCGACCGCGAAGGCGGGCGGACAGCCCAGGCACTTCTGGGTCGCGCTGTAGCAGTAATCGATACCCCAGTCATCGAAAGCGACCTCGTTGCGCAGGCTGACGTCACAGCGTCGACCAGAATAGCGCGTCCGTGCTTCGCGTTGCGAGCGACATGCCCTCAGCGGCTGCCTGATGCGAGAGTCTCACGCGTGGATCACGGCGACGAGCTTGACGTCGGTGGCTCTCTGATGAGCGGCTGTTCAGCAGCTACTACGGGGAAGGCTTGCCCCAATCGGAGCGCAGCGCGACCACGTTTGCGCCGACGCGGGTAGCCATGTCGACCATCCGCTCGCCGAAGTACCCGTAGATGCAAACGACCACGGTGTCGCCGGGTTCCAGGATGCTGGAAAGCCCGGCCTCCATGCCCGACGATCCGGTGCCTGAGAGGGCCATTGTGAACGCTTCTTCCGTCTGGAATACCTTGCCCAGAAGCTCCGCGACCTGGTCCATGATGTCGACGTAGTCCGGGTCGAGGTACCCGATCATGTTCTGCATCATCGCCTGTAGCACTCTAGGGTTGACCATGGACGGACCCGGGCCAAGCAGAATGCGAGGGGGTACGCCAATCATCGCGTTGGAGTTGTATTCAGTCATGAGGCTCCTTCATTTGCGGTTGTACCGGTCGTCGAACCGGACTATGTCGTCTTCGCCGAGATAGCTGCATGACTGCACTTCAATTATCTCAAGGGGGATGGTGCCCGGGTTCTCCAACCTGTGCGTCTCTCCGACTTTCACGTAGGCTGACTCGTTCTCGAAAAGAAGCGACTCTCCGTCGTCCTTGACAATCTTCGCGGTGCCGCTTACCACGACCCAGTGCTCGGACCGGTGGTGGTGCATCTGCAGCGAGAGCGCCTGCCCAGGATTTACTGTGATCCGTTTGACCTGAGGAAAACGACGGTCGCCGGCGTGCGCATGTCTCGTAGCCAGCCCCATGCTGTGAATGAACTCGGCCGTGTGATTCTACTTGTCGGGCGGCACTCGAGCCGTCACGCCGCTCGACCGCGCAGCTTGACGTCTCAACCCTGTTCCGGTCCGCAGCAAGTACCGCGTCCGGCGTCTCTACGATGATAACGTCTTCGAGGCCAACCGCTGCAACCAGCCGGTGATGTCCGAAGATCATGGAGTTCCGCATCTCATACGTATAGACGTCACCCCGGACAACGTTGCCGTTTTCGTCCTTGTCACTGACGTCCATGATCGCGGCCCATGACCCCACGTCCGACCATCCGGCGTCGATGGGAACAACCAGCGTGCGGCGATGGCTGTCGGAACCCACGATCCTCTCCATTACAGCGTAGTCGATGGTGTCGGGGGGACATGCCGCGAACGTCTCAGCGTTCGGCCTGAAGAAGAGGCCGTCACGCGTGCCATTGGCGTGGGCTCTTCGGCAGGCATCGGCGATGTCAGGTCTGAATCGCTCGATCTCTTCCAGCCACGCCGACGTGGGGAGGACGAACATTCCGCTGTTCCACAGGTACTCCTCAGTGAGAAGCATCGAACGGGCGGTGTCCAGGTCGGGCTTTTCGACGAACTCGCCAAGCTCGTAGGCGACGGCCGACTCGGACCTGAAACCGTTAAAGAACTCGTCTCCCCTGCGAATGTAGCCGTACCCTACGCTTGGGAAGCTCGGGGTGATTCCGAAGGTCACAATGTAGTCATGTCCAGCAAGTTCCGCCGCGACCGCAACCGCGCGCTGGAACTGGGCACGTCGGAGATAATGGGTCCGCCTGGAGGACGCAAAACAGGACTACTGTCGCACGTCGTAGGCATTGTTCCGACAGTGTGAGCGCCGCGAGTGTGAGGGCTGGAGCGGTGTTGCGTCCGACCGGCTCAAGTAGTATCGAAACAGGTAATCGGTCGATCTGTCGTGAATGTTCAGCGACAAGAAACCTGTGTTCCTCGTTGCACACGACTATCGGGTCCGCGACCTTGTCGACTCCGTCCAGTCGGAGGACAGTGTCCTGCAGCATCGAGCGATTGTCGGAAATGGACAGGAACGGCTTGGGGTAGAACTCCCTGGAGAGCGGCCATAGTCTGGTGCCAGAACCTCCGGCCAGAATAACGGGGTACAGTGTCATGGAGAGACTCCGTCGATCGTGGGTGTGCCGGGTCTGTTCCAAGTACAGTTGCTAAGCGGGGTTCTCACATCCCATACGGTACTGCTAGTCAGACCTTGATGCAAGCGAGCGAGAAGTTCGATACCGATTGCTGATCAGGGAAAGTATGCCAATATCACCACGAGTCAGTGCCAATGGTGAACCCTCTCAAGTCAACCAAAAGCCCGCTCCAGCGCTTCTTAGAGTGGATTGGTCCAGCGGAGGCCGGGGAAGCGGTTGAGGTCACCGTCGTTTGAGTGGATCTCAGCCTGATACTCCATCGCGAGTGCGGCAATGTGCGAGTCGGTCACGAGGTTCGCACCGACGCCAGCGGCGGTGAGACTTCTTCGGAAAGGAATCATGTGCTCGGTACCTGGGTTGATTGGCGTAATGTGGGGGAACCGAGACCACTCCAGCACGTAGTCAACTGCTACTTCAGCGGCTACAGGGTGGACGAGTACTCTGGATGGTCATCAGCTCGCAACGCTCTGATAGCGACCCACGGAATGGCAACTCTCTCTACACCGTTGACCAAGCCTTCCCACCAGGTTTTGGCGGGGTCGTGATAAGGGGCACCGTCGGTGTGGGCATACACTAGCAGGTTGAGGTCCGGTACTATCACCTCGTGTCCTGCCCAGCAAAGGTCTCGGCTTCGATCTGATCGTTGAGCTGATTGAGCTTCAAGGGGTCGACGCTGGGAACAAGGCCACTGTGATTTGGTAGAACCCTGTACTTGGGGCTCGTAGTGTCGTTCCCTGCCGGCGATAGACCACGGCGTAGTGTATCGTTGACTACCTGTTTGAAAGAAACGTCCAAGAGGCGTACGCGCTCTTTCAGGGAGTCGGCAACATCGTCGTCCAGTGTCAGCGTTGTTCTCATGTTGGCATCTTAGTGAGCAGGTTTTTTGATGTCAAGATGTTTGGCCCGTCGGGAATCTTTGCGACATCTGTCCTTTGAACGGCACGAACGATTCTCTCTATCCACCCAGAACAACACCGACGATGGACTCCTCCATGTTCATGGCGAGGTCGGTTACCTCTTCCACCCGTGTGTGGTCTCCCGAGGTCGCTATGTAGGCGACTCCCAGGATTCTGCCAACCCTGAAGTCAATGATCGTGGCCGAGATTGGCTGGCCGTTCCTGTTGTAGCTGGCGCGGAGTCCGACCGCCTCATCGAAGAACCCGTCTGGGGTGAACTGATCGGCTCCCCACCAGTACTTGGCCTTCACCAGCGTCTGTCCCGATGTTGTTGAAAAAGTCATGCAGAAATACATCGTGCATCCAGCCGTGTACGCCGTCTGGTGTATTGAACAGGTGCGCCACGGAGCCGACCAGCACGTCTGCTCCGTCAACATCCGGGTCCACTGTGGACGACCAGAACTCTCGGACGAATCCTTTGATTCGGCCAATCTCCGAAAAGCGTTCCTCTGTCGCCCCCGGGAACCCGTGCTCTGCCATTTTGCGGTTGTCCAGATCGTCTTCCCTGGTCTGCGTGTAGCTCTCATACCTGTTGGGCAGACTATGCGCCGGGAGCACAAGCCTCGGGAGATCAGACTCATGAACGTCGAATGTAGCTTGAACCAGCTTGGTGGTCACATTGGTCTCCAGTACTGACTAACCACTTGCGCAAGCGATTGTTGACCCGTGCATCCGCCACTGTCAAGAGCGGTCCTGCCACCGACCCCCTTTTATCACTGCGTTGCCTGACACCCATAAGCTGTTACCTGTATAATGTCGCCGTACCGGCAAGAGAGGGAATCTACTTACAAAGAGAGCTTTGCATGAGCGACAAGAATGAACCGAAGCGCGGGTTCACACGGCGACAGGTCCTCAAGGGTGTTCCCCTGGGAATCGCTGGCGCTGCCGCGCTAACGGTGGTCTCCAGTCGATTCGTGTCCGCCTTCGTCCGGCGCAGGCGGATGCCCGACCTGCCTCAGGACTCCATCTTCGCCCCTGACAAGAGCAGGTATCCGGAGGCGTAGCTCTCGTTCGTGCACAGGTGCGAGGCGCTCGCTCTCCTCGAAGACAGAACGTTTGCACAACGCGATAAGCCGCTGGCCTGACTCCGCAGGGCGGATCGCTGAGCGGTGACGCAGACCATTCCCGAGTCGGAGCAGCTGGATCCCACACCTGCGAACGAAGTCATGACGGTCTCTTCCATGATCGCCACTCTACTTGGCACAGTGTTTACCACACTGATCGTGGTCGGCTGCGCTCATAGCCCACAGCCCGATACAGCCGCCACTCCTGTACCTACCCCTACTCCCATAGATGTTGAGGCTCTGCTCACCCGATCAGGTGAGGCGACGGGTGCGCTGAAGACATTCCGTTTTCCAGCTCGAACACAACAGGGAGGGCGGTACGCCTTTTGACGGACACCCTCACCGTTACCGAGGCCGATGGGACCGTGGTCAGTCCGGACGGACTGTCTATTGAATTCGCTGGCACTGTCGGCAACTTCGCAGTCCGGTCCAGCCTCATCACCCTGGGCGACGACAGCTACATGACGAACCCACTGACCGGGGTCTGGGAGCAGGTGGCCCGCGAGGTCAGCCCACTTGGCTTCTTCGATCCGCAGCTGGGCATCGGTTCGATGATGACTGAGGTCCAGAGTCCGGTGCTCGTCTCCAAGTCAGATGCCGAGATCGAGATCGAGGGGGCGCTCCCGGTGGAAGCCCTCAAACCGCTGTTGGGTGGACTGACGCAGGGGACTACAGTCAACGTGCGACTGACCATTGACGCGGATACTCTATACCTGGAACAGGCTATCCTCGATGGGCGCGTGACCGCGACTGAGCCTGACGGGGTTGTGCGTACCATCACGCTGTCGGAGTTCAACGAGCAGGTCACAATAGAACCGCCGGGATGAGCGGCCTGCGAGCTTCCCGATATCTCGCTCTCCTGCCCGTGTTCATCGGCGTGTTCATCGCGGCAGACGATCAGACCGTAATCGTTACTGTGCTCCCCGAGATAATGTTCGATCTGAGGGTGCAGATCAACGAGCTGGATCGCGCGTCGTGGACGATTACAGGATACCTGCTCGGATATGTCGCCGCGATGCCTCTCATGGGCCGCATGTCCGATGTCTGGGGACATCGCAATGTGTACGTCGCGTCCATGCTGGTCTTCATGGCTGGGTCGGTCGCGGCGGCGCTAACGACCAGCCTGACCTGGCTGGTAGCTGCGCGCATCGTGCAGGCGATAGGGGCGGGGGCGCTGGTGCCAATCTCCATCGCCATTGTTGGAGACCTCTTCGAGCCGGAGCGCAGAGCGATGCCGCTGGGACTTATGGGCGCATCCGCTGAGGCAGGAGGAGTGATAGGCCCGCTTTGGGGCGGTCTCATCAGCAGGTATCTCGACTGGCCCTGGGTGTTCTGGATCAACATACCGCTCGGCGCCCTTGTGCTCGTGACGCTGCTTCTCATGCTCGGCCCGAGTCCGAGATACCCCGCGCGAATCGACTACATCGGCGGCGGTCTGATCGCGGCCAGTCTGTCCACACTGACGCTGGCGCTGTCGGAGATCGACGCGCTTGGACTTCCCTTCGTCATCTATCTGTCAGCCTCAGTCGTCAGTTTCGGTCTGTTCGTACTTCGCCAGAGGACGACCTCTGACCCTCTTCTGCCGCTGGCGATGTTTCGAGCAATTCCTTTCAGCGCGGCGAACGTGACCCATCTGCTGCTGGGCGGGGCGCTCATAATCGGGATGGTGACCGTGCCCCTGATGGCGAACACTGTGCTGGGACTGACCGCGCTGGATGGCGGCCTCATGCTCATGCGCATGACGATCGCGATCCCGGTGGGTGCTGTCGCCGGTGGTTACGCCAGTCAGAGATTCGGCTATCGGCTGCCGTCCATTGTAGGACTGCTGCTGATCGCTGTCGGCTACGGGCTGATGAGCGGATGGGGCTGGGTATAGCGGACCCGGCGATGACACTCCACCTGGCCACAGCCGGACTCGGGTTCGGGTTGCTGATCGCCCCGATCGCGCTCGCTGCGACTAACTCGGTTGGCGTTGGACTCAGAGGCGCCTCCTCCGCGGTCGTGACCGCCATGAGGATCGTCGGAATGACATTCGGCCTGGCCGCTCTGACGGCCTGGGGGGTCGGGCGGTTTTCGCAGCTGGTGGTAGGTCTAGAGTTGCCGCTGCCTGTACCTGGCGAGACCGCGGAGCAGTCGCGGACGCGTCTGGCGGGGTTTGAGCAGCACCTGATCGATGCCGGCCTATCCGTTTTCAACGATTTCTTCCTGATAGCCATGGGCGTGGCACTCGTTGGAGTGCTCTCGGCGGCGTTCATGATTCAGCGGCGACCGGCCGATTGATCTGCTAGAATCGCCCTCGATCAGGTTGGGCTAGCCCCGACCCCCCACGTCATCAACAGAGCCAGTAGTCGGAGGATGAATTCAATGTCAAACCAGGTCAAGGGAGTGATAGCAGGCTCCAGGGGGGCGCCGGTTACCGTCGAGGATATTCTGGTCCCGGACCCGGGTCCGGGCGAGGTGCTCGTCAGAGTGCAGGCGTGCGGAGTCTGCCACACCGATCTTCACTACCGCGAGGGCGCGATTAACGACGAGTTCCCGTTCCTGCTGGGACATGAGGCCGCCGGGACGGTCGAGAGCGTCGGCGACGGTGTGACCAACGTCGCGCGGGGCGACTTCGTCATCATCGCGTGGCGCGCGCCCTGCGGAAACTGTCGCTCCTGCCTCCGTGGGCGTCCCTGGTACTGCTTCGACAGCATGAACGCTAAGCAGCAAATGACCCTGGCTGACGGCAGTCCCCTCTCTCCGGCTCTGGGAATTGGAGCGTTTACGGAACTAACGCTGGTCCACTCTGGACAGGCGGTCAAGATAGATCCAGCAGCGTCGGCTGCAGCAGCGGGCCTGATCGGATGCGGAGTGATGGCCGGACTCGGCGCGGCGGTCAACACCGGCGGCGTAACTCGCGGCGACTCGGTGGCGGTAATCGGATGCGGCGGTGTGGGAGATGCGGCCATCGCAGGCTCCCGGCTAGCCGGAGCTCATACCATCATCGCCGTCGATATCGATGACCGTAAGTTGGAGTGGGCCAAGGGCTTCGGCGCCACTCACACGGTCAACTCCACCCAAACCGACGCGGTCGAGGCAATTCGCGAGCTCACGGGTGGAAATGGCGTGGATGTAGCGATCGAGGCCGTCGGCAACCCGGCCACATATGAACAGGCATTCTTCGCTCGCGATCTCGCTGGCACCGTCGTTCTGGTCGGAGTTCCCAGCCCGGACATGAAGATCGAGCTTCCGATGCTCGAAGTGTTCGGAAGGGGCGGCGCTCTCAAGTCGTCCTGGTACGGCGACTGCCTACCGACAAGGGACTTCCCCATGTTCATAGATCTGCACCTGCAGGGCCGTCTCGACCTTGAGGCCTTCGTATCTGAGACGATTGCTCTCGGCGATGTTGAGGAGGCGTTCCACAAGATGGAACGCGGCGAGGTGCTGCGGTCGGTTGTGATTCTGTAAACGCCTGCTATCGTCGGGAGGGGTGTCATGCTCAGTCAGCAGACAACATATGAGTTCAGACCGGTCGGGGACGGGGACAAGACTGCCAAGACCGATCTGTTCTACAGGGAGGAGATCCAGCTTGCCCTCCGCAACAGGGGAATGCCGCTGGAGGGCCTGAACTATGACATCACGCCAACGGGGATGCACTATCTACTGATCCACTTCGACATTCCGTTTGCAGACGAAGAAGCATGGAGCCTCGACATCGGGGGCCTCGTCGAGAACCCGGTCACGCTGGACATGAGCGACATCAGGTCGCGTCCGCCGATGACTACGCCGGTGACCATGGAGTGCGCCGGCAATGGACGGGCGCTGATGGAGCCTCGCGCGATCAGCCAACCCTGGCTACTTGAGGCTATCGGAACCGCGGAGTGGACTGGAACTCCGCTGCGACCGATTCTTGAAGAGGCCGGGATCTCATCGGACGCGGTCGAGCTGCTCTTCACCGGCGTCGATCAGGGTGTCCAGGGTGGCGAGCTTCAGTGCTATCAGCGAAGTCTCACGATAGAGCAGGCCATGCGGGACGAGGTGATGCTGGCGTACGGCATGAACGGTGCGCCCCTTCAGCCTCAGCATGGCTACCCTCTCCGTCTGGTCGTGCCGGGCTGGTATGGCATGACCAGTGTGAAGTGGCTGACCAGTATCGAGGCGATCGACGAGCCTTTCGACGGCTACCAGCAAATGAGGACGTATCGCTATGCGCAGTCTGCCGATGACGTCGGCGATCCCGTCGATGAGATTCGCGTCCGTTCGCTAATGGTACCGCCAGGAGTTCCCGACTTCCTTACACGCACACGTCTGGTCGAAGCTGGAACGCAGCGTGTCGAAGGCAAGGCATGGGCGGGCAGGCTGAAGGTGTCGCGGGTGGAGTTCAGCGGCGACGGAGGTCAGACGTGGACCGACGCCGAGCTCGGGTCTCCGGTGGGCGACTTCGCATGGCGCTCATGGTCGGCACAGTGGGAGGCAACCCCGGGAGAGCATGAGCTGTGCGTCCGCGCCACGGACGAAGCGGGCATCGTTCAGCCCTCCGAACAGCCCTGGAACTACCAGGGCATGGGCAACAACATGCTGCATCGGGTCGAGGTCTTGGTGGAGTAGGTCGGGATAGACCTAAACAGGAGACTACAGAGGCAGTACATCCACAGGAATCAACCTGTGATTGGTGGTGTCCGGGATCAACCCAAAAATCTGCAACGTGGTCGCCCCCAACAGATACGTGTCTTCTCCTCCAAACACAACCCGACTAGTCGCCACATCATCCCCGATTATAAACTGCGCTTCACCAACCGGGAGCTCTTGAATCTCACCGTCAGCTAGAGTGAATCTCCGAACAGTTTTTGATCGCACATTCAGTTTGGAGAGTAAGGACGCAGGCAAGACTGAGTAGGTGGCCCCAGTATCCACCAGGGCGTTTATCCACTCAACTTGGCTGCCGTTTCCATCGCTCACACCAATGCGCGTCTGGAACACTCCCATGTCTCTCTCCCCGCAGGTGTATGTAAACTCGGGTCTGGTAGCTGCATTGTAGCGGAGTGATTGAGCCTTGCGCTCCGCTCATCACTCCATTCGCCCAGCCACTATCTTCAGGATGGCCTCGCCGTGCTGTCTGAGAGTTGTGGGACCTACGCCCTTGATGCTTTGCAGCTCGGCAGTGTTTGCGGGTTTCCGCTCGGCTATCAGGGCGATGGTCTCATCATTGAAGATGGTGAACGCTGGCCTGCCTTGTCGCTGCGCTTCGCGATAGTTCCTGAGAGCCTCCATGATTTGTGCGCTGGTTGGGGGGCAGGCAGACGGTCTCGCAACTCGGACGGGAGGCGTCGCTGACTGTATTGAGCCGGCTATCATCGCCCTTCCCAGAACCCTGTTCAACTGCTCGGCAACACTCTCGGCGGAGCCGTCTAGGATGTTCACTGTTCGATGGGGTTGCGAGACACCATCTGTTACGTTGCTGATTAGCCAATGTCTGCCATTGGTCAGGACCGCAATTCCGCTGTCCATGTGGGAGGCGTAGCCCTCTAGTTGACCCATGTACCGCGGGTCATAGTCACGGTCCAGCCTTTTGACCTCGATGAATGCAAAAGGACGGCAGTCGTCCCCGAGTAGGGCGATGTCAACCCTTATGTTTCTGCGGAACCTTTTCTTACCCTCTACCCGGTACTCTTTGATGACCAAGTCGGGGTTATAAATGTCCCAACCCAGCCCTATCAACATAGGCTCCACGAGGTACTGTGTGGTGTTGGTTCGTTGTTGACGCAAGCATCTGCATGTTCCGAGATATTTCTGCTTACGAGTTCCACTGCCTCGACGAGTTCTGCGGGCGGTGGAGGTCTGGACGCTAGATCCCAGCCCTCGCCGCTCTCTGGGCCACTGGGTTGCTTCTGATTGCAATCACGGCACAACTGGTATTTCGCGGGTTTGTACGTATCTTGGCAGACGGAACAAAGACTGATAGTCCCGTCCCGCAGTTCCAGGTAGTCGTCGTAGCAGAGCGGTTGGTTGGGCCGGTTCTTTGGCTGATTACAGTCCTGTTCTGTGCATATGAGAGTGGCGGCAGTCATAGTTTAACTCCTGATGAAAGTCGCACAATATAGATAGCATGTCTTCCCAAATGCGAGACGCTCTTCATGCGAGTTTCCCAATATGCCCAGATCCGGTGCTGACGCTACATCGAGACCAAGTCTGCGCAGCCCGTCGATTACGGCTCTTGAGACGTTTTCGTCCGTGTAGAACCGTATCTGTCCGGCCATTCGTATGACGCCACCAGCTTCCGTTTTTCTTCCTGAGTGGACGCCTTTTCCAGGGCTTCGTTGAAGGCGTCATTATCACGAATGTCCCGATCTATGGCTTCGCGGTGGTCGGAATAGTAGGCGAGCGCGGCGTTTATGTCAGAGAGGGCTACGCTGTATTGGTCGGCTATCCTGTCCAGACTCAGGCCCATGCGCTTATGCCAGTAGACGATGTTACGCACTTTGATCCGTCTGCCCTTGATATGCGGCTCACCGCCCGCGTAGCCGGGCTTGATTTCGATGCGTCCATCGACGTATGACTTCGCAGTAGCCGACTTCACAATGCTCTCTCTTACAGAATAATGCTCAGCGGGTTTTCGAGCAGGCCCTTGATCTCGTTGATGAACATTGCGCCCTCGGCGCCGTCGACTATGCGGTGATCGGCTGAGAGAGTGGCGGTCATCATCTGACGCACTGTGATTTGGTCGTCGTCGGTGACCACCGGGCGCTTCTGGACCGCGCCGACGGCGAGAACCGCGGACTGCGGCGGCTGGATGATGGCCACGAAACTTGTGACTCCCATCATGCCCATGTTGGATATCGCGAAGGTGCCGCCTGCATACTCCTGTGGGCTTAGTGTGCCCTGCTGGGCGCGCTCAGCTACCTCCTTGCTGGCCTGGGCGATCTTCCTGAGCGACATGTCTCCCGCGCCGACGATCGCGGGCATTATAGCCCCTCTTCGACCGCCATTGCGATGCCGACGTTAACCTCGTCGTTCATCCTGAGTCCGCCTTCTTCGTAGTAGGCATTGAACTTGGGGAACCGCTTGAGCGCGATCACGCTGGCCGCAATAATCAGGTCATTGACCGTGGCTCGCACGCCATCCGCCGCCATCGCCTGGTTGATCTGGGCCCTCAGCATCATAGCCTCGGTCATGTCCACGTCCGTATTGACGTAGAAATGCGGCTTCTCGCTCTTGGAGCGAATCGTGACGCGCGCGATCTGCTGCCTCATGCGGGAGAGGGGGACCAGCTCCGGCTCTGGTTCAGCCTCGACCTCGACAACTGGTTCGACTTCTGGTTCAGCTTCAGGCTGGACTTCGACCTCCGCGACGGGTTCAGGTGTCGGCTCGGGCTCGGGAGTAGTCTCAGTGTCGGCCTCAATGACTCTCAGGACGTCTTCCTTCACGATGCGCCCACCGGGTCCGGTACCGTCAACTGCTGCGAGGTCGATGCCCGAATCGTAGGCAAGCTGCCTGGCGACGGGAGTGGCAAATACACGAGCGGCTTGGCTTGGCTCCTTCGGCAGGAGTCTCATCCGGCTGGGGAGTTACGACACCGTCTGTGAGGGGGACGCTGGCGGCGCCCAGAGGTATGGCCTCGATGGTCTCTTCTTCTACTTCTACCTCCCGGGCTGCTGGCTCTGGCACTTCAGGTCCGGCTCTTCTTCAAGCACGGCATCCATCTCACCGACTACTGCTATGGCTTCACCCACCGGCACTGTTGATCCCTCTGAGACCAGTATCTTCTGCAGACGCCTGAAGCATAGGACTCGAATTCGACGACCGCCTTATCGGTCTCGATCTCGGCGACCGGCTCGCCCAACTCCACGTTGGAGCCCTCAGCTTTGAGCCAACGCACGACTGTGCCTTCCTGCATGTCATATCCCATCTGGGGCATGGTCAATTCAGTTGCCAACGGATTCTTCCTCTCTCAGTTTCATGGTGTACGAGAAAATTGCATTAGAGTGTATGGGAAGGGGCCTCCTCTCCCTCGACGGGAGAGGATCGAGGTGAGGGTGACAGGTATAGTCCCCCCTCATCCCAGCCTTCTCCCACCAGGGGAGAAGGTGCTTCTCACACACCCTCTTGGTCCTGATCCGGAGTCAGATTCCGAAGTTCCTGGAAATCTCATCGACGACCCGGCTGGCGTCGGGGATTGTCGCCGCTTCGAGCTCACCGGAGTACGGCGCCGGAACATCGAGACCTCCGACGCGGACCACAGGGCCGTCCAGATAGTCAAACGCCTCTTCCTGTACCGCGCTCGCGACCTCTCCGGCAAATCCGCCTGTCCGCCATGCCTCTTCGACGACCACCACACGGTTGGTCTTCTTGACCGATTCCACGATTGTGCCGACGTCGAGGGGGCGAAGAGTCCGCAGGTCTATGACCTCAGCGTGGCGGCCTCTCTCCGCAAGCATGTCAGCGGCATCGAGGGCAACGTGCGTCATCCGAGAGTAGCCCACGATGAGTGACAATGCCGAACGCCTCTGCGACGGCTGCAGCGCTGTCCAGGGGCCAAAGGCACCTCGTAGTACTCGCCCGGCACCTCTCCCCTGATTCCATAGAGCAGCGCGTGTTCGGCGAATATGAGCGGCAGCCAGGTTGTCTAGTCATCCGTATCGATGTCGTCCTCAGCAGGCCGAGAGCACGTAGTCGAGGTGCGAAGGAGAAAAATCGGCGAACCTTGAGGCCGGCACCGAGCGGCGATACCAAGCGCTCTGCGAAGTCTCTGCGAGTGGGTCGCAGCAAGCTGCGCGCCGCAGTGACCGTTCTGATGACCATCGGCACCGTAAGCTGGCCGTTTGACATGTATCTCAGCTTGGCGGCGTGGTTTATGATCTGGTCCATGGCGAGAAGCGAGAAGTTTATCGTCATGATCTCGACGATTGGCCTCATGCCGACGAGTGCAGCACCTACGGCAGCGCCCACAAAGCCCGACTCGGATATGGGCGTGTCCCGAATTCTCTCCGGCCCAAAGTCCGTGAGGAAACCGCGGGTCACAGCGTAAGCGCCGTCGTACTCGCCAATGTCCTCTCCGAGTATGAAGACGTTTTCGTCTTGCTCGAGCGCCTCGCGCAAGCCCTGCGCAATGGCCTCTCTAAGAATGATCTCTGTCATGGGCTATCCACTCTCTTGAGGAGGGGAGGTGACCCGAATACACGGTCAGGCTCTCAACGCTCGAGAAGAGGTGAGTGCAGAATCGCGCTCGGACCGCGGAAGTGACGCGCCTCACTACCGATGGCAGATTTGCAGTCAGCGAGGCGACTATCACGCTATCAGGTGTCCAGGCGTGTGGAAGTGGCATCAGGCGTAGACGTTATCGTAGATGGAGTACACATGTCTGGCGCAAAGGACAGCTCACGCTGCGACTCGACGGCGCACGATGCTCGACTTCATCAGCGACCTCTGAGTCGATCTGCTGTAGCTCCGACTGGGTAATCAGCGCCTGTCGCCGCGGGCCAAGGCGCTTGACGACCATCACTAGGTGTTCGTTGATTCAGGCCAGGCTCTTCTACTTCAGACCATCTCACGGAGTTGGTGCACTGGATCGGCCCAACTCGAGTGATGCCGCGGAAACCTGTCAGGTCACTCGCCACTCATATGAAGCCGGCCCGGTTGCCCCGCCCCTCACGACTGCGAGAGCAGCCCTTCTGGCGCGTCGCCTCGCGCACTGGTCCATCAGGAAGGGTTCCCTCCATCCACCTGAGACCAGCGGGAATGTGAGTAAGTAATCCGCCGACTTGAAAATGTCGCGCCCAGCGGCATGGGTACGATCGACATGCGTCCCCATGCCATACAGGTTGTTCTCCAGGAAGAACACCGTGGGCAGCTTCCATAGAGAGGCGAGGTTGAGCGACTCATGGAACCATCAGCGCCTCGTTCAGCAGCGCCGATAAGATCTCCGAAGAAGAAGTCAGTGACTGCCGCTGCTCCTGTGCTGCGCTTCATCTTGATTCCGAGACCGATTCCGACGCCGATTGGCATCTGTCCGCCAACTATCGCGTGGCCGCCCATGAAGTGCAGGTTGGCGTCGAACAGGTGCATCGAGCCGCCCTTGCCCCCACTCGTTCCGGTCGCCCTGCCGCACAGCTCTGCCATGCAGGCCTTGGGGTCCAATCCCCGCGCAAGCGCGTGGCCGTGGTCCCGGTAATGTGTGATGATGTAGTCCTGCGGCTCCAGTGAGCCGACCGCGCCCACGGCTACGAGCCTCCTCACCGATGTAGAGATGGAGGAAGCCCCGGATAAGCCTCTGCATGTAAAGCCGCGCGCTGGCCTCTTCAAACCGGCGGATGAGCATCATCATCCGGTAGTACTCGGCCACCTGCGCCTTGTCGATATCAACGGCTACTTTCATGTGATCCTCGGCGTGTTGGGGGTCAGGGTTCGGCTGCGCAAAATCTCCCTGCTTCTTCGACGTTCGAGACCGCGAACCTGGTCACGCTGATTCTTGAACCTGACGCCTAAATGTGTAGTCGCGCTGCTCCCGGTCACGCAGGCGAGCGCGGCTTCTTTGAGAGCTTCGGAGATCGTAGGATGTGGTGTGACGACGGCTAAGCGGAGCTCGCGTGGGCCTCCAGAAGCCGCGTCATGGCGATCTCGCCAAGCAGTTCTGTAACCTCCGCACCGATCATGTGTGCGCCAAGAACCTCACCAATCTCCGCATCGACAACCAGCTTGATCATTCCCTCGGTCTCGTTCAGGGCTAGCGCCGCTTGCCGCTCGCCGCCAGTGGGAACTTTCCAACCTTTATCGAATACCCTTGTTCTCTGGCCTGCGTCTCGGTCATGCCGAAGCTGGCGACTTGGGGTCGGCAGTATATCGCGCTTGGAATCTGACGGTAGTCGATGGGCGGTGCTGTGGGTGAGTCGCGATGGATGTGCTACGATGGTCGGTAGCACGCCCTGAGCGGACGCAACGTGCGCTAGGGGCATCTTGCCGGTGACGTCGCCTATGGCGTAGATGCCCTCGACGTTGGTCTTCATCATGTCGTCCACCGGGATGAAGCCGCGGTCAGTCTCGACACCCACTGTCTCGAGGCCGATTCCGATCTCGACGTTGCCTCTACTACTCTCACGCTACCTACTCTTCCGACGCCACAGTACCAGCATCGCCGTCCGGATCCCGGAGAGCTCTTCTTCACCCGGACGAGATGGACACACCTTGGCGTTGCCGTCGGTCAACCGCGGAATTACCCTGGACTCTGCTGCGCCGTGCTATCTGTATCCCCTGCCGCCGGATAGCATAGCGTGCAATGCTGGCTCGCTGACACTCCTCGTCCCCATTGGGTACGAGCCTTGGCAGCAGCTCGACGATCGTCACGTCGGCGCCGTATGCTCGCCACATATACGCGAACTCGCATCCGGTCGCTCCTCCGCCAATGATGACGGCCCTGCTGGAGCGAGGCCTTCCTACAGCTCAAGAGCGCCCACTGACGATGCGTTGTATGATGACGGTCTGCCGTCTTATGGGAGAGGCCGGTGGGATGTGCCGCTGGCGCGCGCCGGTCGCGATGATGACCTTGTCCGTCGTCACCGCCCGGTCCCCTTCCGCGCCTTTTACCAGGACCGTGTTGGCGTTCGTGAGAGATCCGGAGCCGCTTATGTGCTCGACGCCGTTCCTGCGGAGCAGGGTTGCGACCCCGCGCGTGAGCCGATCAACGACCCTGCGGCTACGGTCGATGGCCCTGGAGAAGTCCGCCTTCACGCCTTGAACTGTGATGCCGTACTCTTCCGAGTGCTGGATGAGGCTAGTAACTTCGGCGTTTCTGAGAAGCGCCTTAGAAGGGATGCAGCCCCAGTTCAGGCAGATGCCTCCGAGAGCGTCGCGCTCTACGATGGCAGCCTTCATGCCCAGTTGTCCGGCGCGGATCGCGGCCACATAGCCGCCTGGGCCTGATCCGAGCACCACTACGTCATATTCAGCCAACAGACACCCCTTAGTTGAATACGCACGGCTCCGCAAGAGTCGTGGAGACTACGTAAATCATTCTACTACATCTACTTCTAACATCTACAGCTACACTCATACCTAGGACGTGTAACGTTTGGCGTGTCCTGGCTGCCTGTGTCAATTTAGTCGGTGCGGCTGTTCGACGATCTGCCGGAGCGCGGCGCGGCGTCCGCCCTCATTCCCCGTAGTGCGGTTCGCGCGAACCGCCCCTACATGGACGAGCTACCTACCAAGCTGTCACAGCTTCCGTCCTAGAGACAAGTGGGCAAGTGCATACTTCTCTGAGGATCAAACCCAACTTGGCGCTTTCGGCACACCCATCGTTATCCTCCTGAGCCCCGCTGCTGGTCGAGCCAACCCCCGTCTCTGAGAGTCTGGAGCGCCCAGTGTATCTGACGCTTCGAGAACTGCCTTTTGCGATAACCCCACGCATACGTGTGGGCGACAACCTCGTCGTCTGTAGAGTATGGATGCTCAGCGGCGACCCAATGCACGGTTGCCAGCAGCTCAAGGCCGAACGACGACTGGAACCCCTCGACAGCTCGCAAACGAGCGATACAGGCGTTCTCTTGGTTGCGGGACGTCATTGAGAAATGCGAGCGGTAGCGTCTTCGATGCGCCAGCACAGTTCGAGTTGTCCTGTACTGGAGCGTCGCCGCCATCCCTGTAGCCCGATATAAGATGACCTTCCACCTGGCGAAGGACATGCCTGAGATTTTCTGCGTACGGACCGTAGGATCCCTTCTGGAACTGTAATCTAAGGGGTTCACCGGCCAACTGCATGAAGTACATGAGCTTGTGTACTTCCAATAGCGTGATGAACGGATCGAGCAGGGCACAATGGATATCGTCATCAAGTCGACCAAGCGGCCGACCGACCAGCGCCGCTCGACCTGGGGTCATCTTCGGCACATTGGTGGAGCGATTAGGACGATCGTCGACAGGGCCGCTGCCGGGCTCGAACAACATGACCACCACATCATTCAACTCCCGAAGGGCCGCTTCTATGCGTGGGTGTACGTCGGTCCAGTTCAACCCGCCGAGACTGGTTCCAAGAGGTGGGATAGCGATTGATCGGATGTTGCGTTCCTCAATCTCCCTAACAAGATCCTTAAGACCAGCCTCTATGTCTTCTATGCGGCTCTTACCCCTCCAGTGGCGCTTGGTCGGAAAGTTGATGACGTAGCGCGGATTGGTCATTTGGCCTGATTCGCAAACGAACATTCGACCTGGTTTGACCTCGTTCCGCTTGCACGCAGCCGCGTAGGTCTTGAAATTTTCGGGAAACATGTTCTTGAACTGGAGCGCAATCCCGCGACCCATTACGCCCACACAATTGACACTGTTGACGAGAGCCTCAACATCCTCTGCGAAAATGTCACCAGTCTTGTACTCAATCATGCTGACCCTCCTTCATGGTCAGTAGTACCAACCCCGCCTGATCTCTACGGGCGGGCGATGATCAGACGCCCGCATAGCTTCCGAAACTCTATTGCCAACTTCACGAGAGTGGACGCCGATGCGCGAAATCAGATTCCATGGGAATGAGAACTCTACCAAGAATTCTGCCTGCTTGCGCTCTTTGCGATCACCTGACCATTGGTTAGCTTGTATCGCGTCCCAGTCCAGTTTGTCGAGGTTGTCAAGGTCGCTGAAGTCATCAAAATAGCTAGACGCCGCATTGGACGTCGTGAATGCCCAGCGGCACCCATTGGAGTCGGCCCTAGCTACCGTTTGACGCAAGTCAGCCTCCAGGTGAATGATTAGCCCTTGGCCTCCTCGGTATGACAACTCTCGGTGATTAGCCATCGAGATCACATAGAGCATGACCGAGCGTGGACAAAAGTAAAAGGGAACGCAGTCGCCGATATGCAACTCTGGATGGCTTGAAAGAGTCAATCTGCGCCGACGTCGCTTGATATCGCTAATTCCAATAGTGGTTCCTGTAGTCCCCTGTCTGGTATCCATCACCGTGTCGCACCACAGATAGCCATCTGAGATGATAGATGACAGCCGATCCACATGGACGATGTGGTATATCTTCGGTTCTGAGGGCACAAACATGATTACGCCATAGTGTACTGGAAGAAGCTCATTGGCTCACCCACCAACCCGAGAATCCTGACAACCCGCTGCCCCACCTCGGTGAAGTGCTGCACACCTCATCGGGCAGCAGCGACCTCCCCAGCACCTTGCGCTCCGATACGACAGCCACTTCTTGAGCACCTGGTAGCCGCCGAGCTTGTAGCCCCACACGTGGCGGGCACGTTTCTCCAGTAGGCGCGGTCGTTGAGGTAGATGTCGTAGGTCTTGTCGCCGAGCACTGAGATGGCGTCGCCCATCGCCTCGCGCTCTTCGACGTGTACGGACGCTCGACGACCCGACCCTGGCCCGGCATCACCGCCTGGCCCGACCCGAAGTGACCCCAGCCTGCGCGTACGTCGAAGTCGTCACCGGACATGTTGCCCCCGTCCGTCGTGGACGGCACCGCGATGACCGCGATCTCAGGACGCAGACGCCCCCGACGTGACCCCTCGGACCGGCGTGTCCGAGTCGAGCAGCGCGGCGAGCTTCCGGACCCCCGACGCCGACGTCGCCAGCTCGTCAGCCGCTCCGACTCATCGCCGTCCGGCCAGCCCGGAATCGGGATGCGAGGCCACTCCATCCTGAGGCCCCGCGTTCGCTTCCCGGTACGTGGGATCGTGCAGCACCGCGAGGACGTGGTGGAACAGGTCCTCGACATCCGCGCCGATGGATTCGAGGTAGTGCTGTGCGGCTCCCGTCAGGTTGGGACGCGCTGGATTCCGTCCCCTTCGATTCCCAGTCCTTCGTCGCGGAGCCAGGCGGGGAACATACCGGCACCCCACTCGTTCAGGTGGAGCGATTGGCAAAGTGTGACGTGACTGCGGACTGTGGTTCAGACGCATCTCTTCTCAGGTGAGAAACGCACGGATAGCCATAGGTTTCCCTCGAG